TATATGCACAATCATGTTTTAACTTTCCTCAACTTCTGAGAGTATAATCTTCTACTTTGTAAAAATGCGCCCACTGGAATGGCGATTTGGGATCAACCAGAAAGTAAAGTTCCGTGTTCTTTTGGTGGAAGCGAATTTTATCAAAAGATGTTGTTACCAATTTGCAGATGTAAGTAAATAGTTCTGACATTGCCCAAAATCAACTCCCAACCCAAATACCTTCTTTCCAATTCCAAGGGGGATAAGGCTGAAAATAAAATTTGCTCATCAAACTGTTTTAAAATCGTTTATATTTTAAGACAAATAACATTTTTATTATTGTCAATATCCATATAAAGGGAGGTAATGTATAATATAAACAAGTATAAACGTGTATTTTGTAATACTTAACACAGGAGAACGTGTTAGAAAATTATAAAGTATAATAAAGTGTATAATAAATACTATAATACTTGTTAAAGTGCCTAATGTGTCCTTTTAAACATTTTCCTTTTTTGTCTTTTTTTTTCATTTTAATATCACATTGAACAGTTGTGTACTTTCGTAATGATACACTCTGAGCAAAGCAACAACCTTTAGGAAACACATACTTTGTTTGCTGTTAACAGGTTTTGCTCTAGGGAGAACACATTTACTGTTATTTTCTTTAATGTAAGCAAGATTATTTAGAAAGAAAGTTGATGGCAGTGTTATAAACAGGTAATTGCTTTAAAATAGTGTTTCTCTGCAGTGGTTACACTAAATATATATACTTTGTTTATAGTATAACCTAAAATATGAAAAAGCAAGATAAAAGGGAAGGGGGGGGTTTCAATGAAACGAAACCCCCCAATACGACCCAGAAAACACAGGCCCCAAACCGGAAAGGGAGGCCAAAGCGGAAAACCCAAAATGAAAAAAAAGACAGGACAAAAAGGGACTTAAGTCTTTTTTTTACAAAAGTGCGACACGTATTAAGCAGACGATCAATCCTTTAGTATACCTTTTACGAGCAGGGTTATCTTCTGGCAAAAAAATTTTCCCCTATGTCGGGGGAACCTTTTTTGGGTCAAAAGTCCCCCGGAAATTTTTTTAACAGTTTTTTGTCAAAGAAAGACCTGACCAAAAATTTTTCCCCAGACCATTGTGTAAATTGGTATCCCAAAACCCTTTTTGAATTCGACATCTTTTTTGTGAACTTTAAAATCCCAAATTTCATGGGTTTTTTCGGGTAAAAAACAAACAAAACCCGACGTCATACAATGTAAGAAATTTAAAGAAATTTTTTTACATCATGTTTTTTGGCTTTTCTGACTGGAAACATTTATTTAAATTAAAAACCACAAAAAATGCTTTCGATGAAAAACAAAATTTTAAAAATAAAGAATTACAACAAATAACCCTACTTTTTACCATTAAACATTTATTATGTATTTATTACTTTATAACAGATATATACATTGCAATGCAAATTAGGGTAAAGATAAATATAAGCAAAAATGGCTTAAGTCAAAAATTTCAGTTCGTAACAGAAACTTGCAAATGAGTCAGAAAAAAATCCCGCATTCAAACTGGCGACCATAATCTTAAAAAAACAAGCTTAAAACCATGATTCAACGAATTTTTTCTTGACTTAGTTCTCAGAGGTTGCAGTTTAGGAGAAAGGTTTGCAGTCAACCAAAGCAATATAAATCCCTGATTCTCATCTTGTAATTTCCCTTATGAAATAACTAGTCTCTTAATAATCTGGACTATATTTGTTGCCAACTGCTGTGATCAAACTTACACCCTGAACATTTATTAAATTTATCATTATCATTTATTAAATTAAAGTTCTGAAAAGTAAATTCCGATCTACATTTGTACATGAACACTTAATTTAGAATGTTTTACTAAACTCCTACCAGTAATGACTAACAATCGGTACAATTGTAGAGTATCTCTGGGTTTCGAGCACGACTGCAAAGCTGTACGGCATGATTTTCACATCAGCCCAAGTGCATAATGTTCTTTTCCCCAAGACTGTAATAATCTCTTTTGTCATCTTCTTAAGACAGCTGTCATGGTGTAGTAGGTTTAATATTGCAGCCAGAATTGTGTTTGATGTGGACAAAAATCCTTAAATATAAATTATCACTACATAAACTATCCCTTTTCAGACAAACTGCGTTCTTATCACATTGAATTTTGCATAAACACTAATAAAACGTCGATCTAGTTTACAATACCGGTAAACAAAAATCTTTAAATGTCAAAAGTGTTATTTTCTTTGTTTGTTTGTTGTTTGCTTCAATTCATGACAAAGGATGATCACATGACGTAATTATTTTACTTTGTTGTGTTTAACAAGTTTGTTTGTTTCTATTTGTCTTTTTATTGTTGGGTTGTTATTTTTTGTTGTTTTTCTTTATAGTCTTTTATAAGCCACCATTTCCATCCGCAAATGATTTACTTCTGAATACTAAATAAAATTACCTCATATTTCCAAAATGTTTAATAAGATGAAATTATTTCAAATAACCAATAATAAAGAAAAACTTCATACGATAATAATATGATTTCATTGTGCATGTACATATTGTTAAAGTGGCACTATGCCCATCCGATGGTATATAGTGAGTGAACAGGTGAATATCAAAATAAGTTTTCATTTTGCAATAATTCCTTTTAAATTTAATAATTTACTTCCCATAAACAATAAATAATACACACATTCAAATACAATTTCTGTAAGTATCCATTAGAATTTACCTATAACGCTCAGTTTGTAAAAAGAGTGGGGCAGTTTTTCTATATTTTAGGCAGATTTATAATTTTATCCTGAACATTTCCAATATCAACTGTTGGTCAAACACCATTTTAACAGTCAATCTTTTGAAATATAAAGTCAATTTAGCTCAACTTGGCTGTAAAAATATGAGCATAATGTCACTTTAATTACTGACCACATTACGGAATAAAATGACACATTAAATCACGTTTTTATGAAGTATTTATTTGTTGAGGCACCAACAGGGTTTATTAGACATGCTGTATGAATAATTTACTTTGCTATCTTAACATTTTTATTGCAATATACTTCAATGAGAAGAACCTGTTAATCATTTGCAGTTGACCTTTAAATTTTAATTCTGTGAGATATGAAATTACTGACGTCACATAATGCTACATAGTAAATAAATCACGTGAGGGATCATCATTAAATCAAATATTCTTTATATCTAAAAAAATAACATCGTGATATTCATGCATGAGGTAATCACACATCCGTAAGATATGAGATAAAAATTTTACCTCCTCCTATTGTATCAAGTATAAGTGCCCTGATCATATCGTCAGTCAGCCAACAGGATCCGTCCTTTTGTATTTCTGTTTCCTGTATATTTAAACAGGTGTCAACCCAAATCCCCCGTTTTTTCCTGGGTTTTAAAATTTTTCCTTTAAGTAAAGGATTGTTAAAAAGATATTATTTGCGGGTTTTTGTTTTTTGTTAAAAAAAAATATAATATCTGCAAAATTTTTTTCACGGTGGGTTTGGGTTCTTGGGGTTTTTAATTTTAAGTTGGGGAATGATAAAACAAAAAAAAACCTTCATAAACATGAAATTAAACCAAATTTTCCCCGGTTTTAAAGGGGAATCACTTTAAAAACCAAAAAAATTATTGGAAGAAAATAATTTCTCAAAATGATCATTGTTATATTGTAATTGTATAGTTTTAAACCAATATCGTTTACGGTACAGTGATTTCAAAATAATCAGTGATAACTTTGAATTTTGAGATATAAAGATAAGCTTTTAAAAATCAGTTTTATTTACACAAAATTACGACATTCAAGCAATAGGAATTCCTCGAACATTTTTATAATGTTCAATGGAGACTTGTTAGATGTTACAACTCAATACAAACGTTTCTAAGAAAGAATACATCTAAAAGTTTTTGGTGGCAACTAAATATGCTCATGTGAACAGTGCATGCCATCATCAGCCGACACATCCGTGTCTGATGTCTGATCATGGTCTACTGTACTCCAATTTCAGTCAATATTTATTTTGAAATATTCCCTGAAGTAATTAGTAGGTCTGTCAAGATTGAAAGATTTTCATTTATGATATTTGCTGAATATGAGCTCTTTATTTTTAGGATATGGATATTTAAACAAAATCTTCTTTAAAATATTGAACATAGTAAATGAATACTAAAATAATTCCTGGAACATAATCTTAAGTTATTTTGTATGATTAATTGATTAATTTTGTTACTGTATTTATAATATTTTTAGGATATTCGAACAAAAGCTTCTTAGAGATATTGAACATAATGAAAATAATACTTAAATACTTCCTGGAAAATCATCTAAAATTAGAAGGTATGATTAATTTTGTTACTACATTTATAATACAGTCCGAAATACTCTTTGAAAGAATTATATATGTCTTCTTCAATACCAAAACGTTTGTCTCATTTTTTTACCTAGAATAATTATCTTATTTGATCATATTGCAAACGGAATTATTTTAGTTGTATATTTTGCTCTTTTCTTGAGTAAAATATTTTAATCAAAGAATTTAATTGAAATCTTTGAAATTCTTATTGAATATGTCTAATTTGAATATAAAAAAATGAATAAACTGTGTTTTGGAAGCTACGTTTCCTATTACAGGACAGGTAAATATGGTCTTTTCTTAAAAAAAACTGCCAGTTTTTTTAACGATATTATATATTCAAATTGTGACCACCTATAGTGTGTTGTGTTTTATACGTGATATATCTACTTTGTGTGGTCAAAACATGTTAATTTTTATATTTACAAAAAGACTATGTAGCAAATAGCAATATTTTCTGATATCAAATTTGAGCACAGTATATCTTTTAACATCTAATAATATTGCTTTATGTAGGTTTATTTGACAATTTTGTATAAAGAACAATTTCGCGTAATAAATATAGTTTATATGAGTATTTTATTATTATTAATTCATTTTTAATGAATCCACATTATCAATATGTATATGATACAGAGTGCCCATTTTAATGCACATTAAGTTTCAGAAATGAATATAGCTTTTTCTTCTGCCAAAATGAAAACCATGAATTTCATATGGTTGTAATTATGGACAATGTTTACAATTCAGAGTAATAACTCTGAATGTGACATTACAAAATGTATGTGTCATACAGGTACAAAATATTTAATAACTGTTAATGTACGGACGTACGCAAAACGCACAGGAAGCAACAGATGGTTCAGCTTAATGGCCGATGAGTTTGGAAACTGGTAAGAACAATTTCAATAGCAAATCTTTCATGAGATGACTATACAGTGTTGTAAGGTAATCAGAGAAGATATTCTATGAATATACTAACACGATAATCAGTGAGAAATCTTTGAAGAAGGATATCTCTCTTCCTTTTGGCGGTTGTATACATAGTGCCTGGTTCGCCGGGAAGGTGACGAAGAAACGGCAAATTCTTTAGCAAGCTTTCAATTCTCGGATTTAGCAATTTGTTTGACCAAAAAACAAAGTCAGAAATAATTTTCTGATCATTATCGGCACATTGACCTGCAATCTGGAAAGGAGTAGATACATTACATTATAAGTTACATGAATTCCTTTGCATAACTATATTCTGGTAATAATATTGTGATACATTTAACAAAACGTTTATTCCTGGCATTTTAAACTTGTATTTATGTTGAAAATCATGGAATAAATAAATACGTATTGTAACATTGAATTTGAAACATAATTTATGTTTTCCACAATATACAACAAAGTATAAGGGCATTGTTCAAGTACATCTTTATCTCTGAATATCGAATTAAACGTTCAAAGTAGTCAAATTAACACTTTGTTTTGTGTTTCATGTTTTTGTAAAGTTTAAAGAATTTTGAGTTTATTGTTTTCTTTTTGCACATTGTATTCATATTGCAATTGTGTGTTAAAACAGCAACGAATAGCTACGTATTTCCGTTTTCAAAAAGGATAGACATGTGTAAAATATTGTTGTAATTATGGATCCAAATAATATTAAAGACTAATCACCTGATTTTGACTTCAATATAGTGCACTAACTCGTTTTAATGTTACAAATTGCCAAAAAGTAAAACGAAGCAAAAGGTTGCCGGGCTTTATGGTTAATACGTAACGTTTTGGAAACTATTAAAGGACACAAAAGAAATAATAAAAAAATAAAGATTAGGAATAAATGCATCCGTATGCTTACAAATTTTCGTCAGACGTTTATATCTCATACGAATTATTGCAAATGATATAATTGTTAAATGAGTAAAATTCAATATCATAGCAACCTTACTCCCGTATGTTACACAGAACAAAATATAAACAGTTAGGAAGTAGGTATTTAAAACCAAACAGCAGATTAAAATGTTCAAAACAATAAGTATCCATTGGTTCCCGCTACGAAAACTGTTCAGAGAATTCGAACAAATTTTAGTTACATACCAACATCGTTAAGGTTTTAGCAATTATTGATTCAACGCTCCTTCTAGGACAAAAATCCTTTCCAACTTTATCTTTAAAAGCATCAATTAGTTCCTCTAACTCTGCTTTTAGTTGAGCACTAGACATTGAGGGCATAAGCCCTTTGTGCATGACGCTTTTCAGCTTGAACGTTCTTTCGTTGTATGGACCAAGCAATATATCAGCATGCCCATATACCAGGTATGTACCATAAAATCCTGTGTAATATAAAAGTATTATAAACATATTAATATACAAATGTGTTCTACACATGTTTTATAAAATGTTTTAACAGACACACATCTGAAAAACATATTGTTGAATAATAATAATTTATTTACCCAATAATATACATGTAACTATATTTAACTTTATTTAAATTTCATGGATATCGCTATATGGACCAACCTAACAATACACAAAGTATGTGCAAGAAAACTCTATCGAAGATAAAAAGCATAAACAGTTGATGCATTACGAATGATAAAATGAATTATCATAGTTTGGATGCAACAAAATATAATCTGATGCATGCATAGCTAACAATCGTGTATAGAAAAATATTTAAGAGGTCTTGATGAGTTTAATATAAAGGAGAGGGAGATTAAAAATAAACTGTCTAGCACTCTTTCTTATGATTCGGCATGTTTTTTTGCTTTGTTAAGTATACGCCACTTCATTACAATCTTTGAACCAAGAGATTATGGGAAAGGGTTACCAAAACTATATTAATTTTGATAAGATTGTTTTGCTAGTTTCATGCTTTTTAATTACTGCCAAATGAATTGAGAAAATAAAACAGACGTTTTAAGATATTATCAAGACAGCAATGCTATACTTTATGAATTGTATTTTGATAACAACTTAACAACGTTATCATAAAACGCTTACAAACCTCTCCATTTAAATAACTTATGACTTTATGTTGTATTAACACCAACATAAAAGATACATCATATTAAGATATAATATTGTATGATTATCAAATAAATCAAATTCAATTGTTTCATAAATTTATTTTACTACTTTAGTGATTTGTTTTATAAAATTATATTTCATGTATGATTATTGCAGTAACATTGTAAAATAGTTATGATTATTTCGTTTAAATTAAAAATTATTTTGATATTAGAATTACTAAAATAATATTGTCCATTGTCAAATAGATCACGTATACAATATAACTTATGTCATGAAACGACATGTTGTTAAAACTTGTACATTTTGCTTTGTCATTCCACGCCACCTCTCCCCCACTTCAGAACCGGCTTAAGCAGAATTCAACATTTAAACATGAAATAGTAAAATTTTGAATTAAGAAACAGATGTGTTCATATGGCGGTTATCATGGAACCTATCAGGTGACAAAGTAGTGCCATTCCATGAAAAGCTGCGTATGGTCCCAAATTAATAAAAAGTGTAAACTTGTGTCCAAAACCTAATTACCTTTTGCTTTGTCATTCAGCGATTCTTCAAATTTTGCTGTATCGAAGGCTTTTCTCATCACTTCTGATGTGTTTAATATAACAATATTCCTCCGCAATAATCGGATGTGTACAACTGGTCCAAACTTCTCGAAAATGCCATGAAGACTCTTGTGCACTCCATTTATGTCTAAGTCCTGTCCACACAAAAATATAAGGTTAATATTTTCATTAGTCTCCAATCAGGCATGTACGCTATTTATTCATTCTGCTTTGCAACATGTTTAATGATTTTTCGTATTTTCAGATGGTGTTTTAATCTGTTTGTATGTCATCAAGGTCGCTTTGACATTGTCCATTACTCATACAAATATGTTATAAGAATTTTATTTATCAATTTAATACATCAAATAAGGCGATGTGTTTTTCTTGATTGTTTGTTTTTTCCATTAATAATAACATGTCCACTTGTACTTGTTTGTTTTAGAGATTATCATTGCGCGTAGTAATATGTCACTTGCAATAATGACATAATTATCAAACATCTTAAGTATAGTTTCCGCCAAATATTATGTCATAATGTCATCTAATCATTATGATCAACATTTTTGTTTTGAGAGACTTTCATACTTATCATTGACAAAGGCTGACATAATAATTAAATAAAATGACATAGTATAATGAGATATATAAAGTAAACAGATCAACAAAATAAAATATAGAACAGTCGTCCTCTCAAATGAATTCAAATCTTTGAAATACATAAAGTTTGCGAAATGACTTTAATAAAGTTTCAAAGTTTCAAAGTTTATTTCAATCAAAACCATTAGGCTTAAAAGCCCATGAGGCATACATATACAAAACTTTATGACGAACAGTTTATATATTTAACAATAATTTCATTTTAACAATATATCTTGCAAACAAAGTTTACTTTGGAGAAGGTTTTTTCAACCTTATTCACCCTTACCAATTGTGACATATTTCGAACTAAATTTCATGTTACCTCTTTCCAGTTTTAAAGTCAACCTTTTAACGAAACGAAACATAAAGGCGACTGACTGGAGTGAACATAATACTAAGATAAACTACATGACCAATGTACTTTTCTGTGTTATAAGACCATTGTGCTACATATGAAAGACAACTTAACACAATACACATTAATATCCATTATATAGATACAGCACCAAAAGTGATAATGCATTCGATAAATTAAAACTTTACATGATTAACAATCTAGATAAATATTTGTATAACATATACCTTATTTCAATTACCATATAATATTTCGTTACGTTTTTTAAAAGCAGTATATATGAAAGTTCCAAGCATTCTTACTATCATCTGGTTTTCGTTATTCATCAATTCTATAAATTTGTACATATTTGGCCGTCGCCAATATTTTGATAATATATATTTATGTCTAAGTTCATCGTACAACTTGCATTCAATAATAAAATGATACTCGTCTTCTAAGACGTTACAAAAGTTACATAATCTTTCATTTACTGGTATAGTCGCCGGTCTTGACCAACGACCTGCTTCTATTTGCAGTCTATGTGACGAAACTCTTAATCTAACAAAAGATTGACAAAATTTACTATTTGTAAAGTGTTCTAAGTAAGGTTGAAATCTAAAATTTGAAATAGTTCGATAAAACAATGCTCTACTAGAACTTTCTAATCTATCATGCCAATTCTGCTTGAACTGATCGTGTAATCTTTGTTTAGCTAATGACAAAAATAAATTACTATTACCAACATTTTGTTGCAACCATACATCATAAAATCCAAGTGTACAAAATAAGTTTTTTACTAAAGAGCACCAATTTACTTTACTCGGTGCATTTTCTAAATCATTTTTGAGCATATTATATACCAAAGACACATATTTATTTTCTTCTGTATGTACAACTTTGACCCAATATTTTATTATGTTATAATAGTGTATTGTCTTAAAACTAAATCTACCTAGTTCACCGTAAATAAAATCATTTTGTGTGGTCTTTTTCACTCCAAGTACTTTCTTGCAAAACTGTAAATGTACCCTTTCTATTGTCAAATTTTTAGCAAAACCACACACTTCACTTCCATAATTTAGAATAGGAGCTACTAATTTATCAAATAAATCAAATTTATGCTTAGGAGTTATATATGTGAATTTATACAAATATTTGTTTAACTTAAAAATAGCTTTTTGAGCTTGTCCAGCTAGTGTACTTTGTGCTGTAGATAAAGATCCACCACTTGTAAAAACAATACCTAAATAAGTAAACTTACTAACTATTTCAATTTCTTCATCGTCGCAATAAAATTTAAGATTTCTAGGAATGGTTCCACCTCGTCTAAATATCATTACTTTTGTTTTTGTTGTGTTTACTTTCATTTTCCAAGTTTTACAATAATCTGCTAATAAATTTATATTCTGTTGCAACGCCGAAACATTTGGTGATTATTTTCCGTAATGAAAAAATTAGTATAATAGTTTTCAAAAAAAATAGAAGAATAAAATTTATCTTGAACCCATGTTTAAAACAATGTTACATCATAGATTTAAAGCATGTTGTTAGTTAATTACTGATATAAAATAGCCCTGAATATGAAATAACGTGTATATAACTATACTAATTGCCGAAGAACAGAAAAAGCAAAAGTTGGTTTAGCTTTGTGTTATCTTGCCTATGTCTTCCTGCTCGTAAACCGTAACGGCACTTAAAAAAAACAGACGGCTTTCACGAAATACAAGCTATACCTTTTAGGTCTAATAGGCCTTTGAAGAAGTATTATACGTCTATTGGACCAGCTTTGCTGATTATTACCGTGTTGAAAAGCAATATATTGCATGTAAAACACATAAGTAATAAGCAAATGATTAAAATTAAAGCTAATATAGAAGTTTCACCTTAAAATTTCCAAAAAGCGACGTTGGCGTTGGTCCAGGTGGCAAGTTTGGTGGGAGCTTACTTGAATATTTCTTCCACAGAAAAGCCAAAAACGCTATAGCAACTCCCGTCAAGGCTAGTTCTGAGAACATTGTGGCTTGTTCTCAGTTAATCCTTGTAGATTATATGTACATCAGATGTCAGTCTCTTATGTATCACAGACTTTTTCCCATATGTAATATGGTGTCAATCTTTTTCTACAGTAAGTTTAAACTCCAATCACTTCTTTCTGGAATTAAAATCATAAAATCAATTTAAAATCAGAAAGTATTCCAATTTAAGATAAATATAAATAACATTACTGTTTAAGATTGTACAAATACATGTATCGTTAAAAACATTCACCGTGATAGTATTGAAATTTTCTACAAGCAAAGTCCATTCCTACACATTGTATTCGCCCACAGTTCTTAATAAAATGTTTCTGTGCAAAACAATGATATGATACGTCTCAAATATCCCTAGCAATCAATTGTATGTCTTTGCGGTCATTCGCGATCCTCAGGTCCATTTTCAACCATTTAAAATGACAAAAATTCCAACATTATCAAGAAAAAGAAATCAGAATATTTAACAGCAATAATTCTGCGTATTGAAATTTGCAATTTAAGTTCAAGATTTTTATCTTAAAAACCATCATCAATGTCTTACTGCTAGAAATACAATGAGGAAGCGTTACATTTTTATGAAATACCTTGTTTCTTCCTAGTATGTGTTTTCTTTCAAACAATCGTTTTCTATATGTTTAGAAAAATCACTATATAAAATTCCTAGAAATGTTTGTTTTATTTATCTAAATCTAGCGGAGAAATAAGTTTAGCATCCGTTTTTTTCTGATTGCCAAACATGCCAAAGGCTTTCCCTGATAGGTTTGCTGATATTTCTCTATAACAAATGTCACATGTGCCGTATTATTTGAGTAGAATAGCGTACACTTATCAAGTCTTGTTGTAATTATATTATTCTGTTTAACGATGGCCTGAACCTTTTATCTCACAACAGACTTTCATAAGTCTACTTCAGTTTAGCTCTTCGGTGATTTAAGACATGAATAGTATTACACTAGGAGACATTTTTTCTTCCTTTATCGCTTTAACGTCACTTTAGTAGAAGTATAAATAATTTATATTTTTCCCAGGGTATCATGTAATGGCTTTTAACACTTTAGTTTTTGGAAGATGAGTAGTATGCATATTTCACAAGTTCTCGTAGATGTAAGACCAATGGGCAGAAAAGGTCTTAGTTGTTAACTATAAGCAGAGGTGTAACACATATATATGCTTACTCTATCTAACCCTAATATAATTTGAAAATTCAAAACATACTCCATAACAAATACCTTTTTATCAATGTCTATATGAGCACTTTGCTATGTTTATTGCTCGTTCATTCATATGTAAGTACGTGTCAAACAAACTATAGAAATTCTCACTCTTGAGGAACGGCAGTGATCTATTACATACAGGAAATAGTTCAAGAGTTGTATCATCTTCATAATAATCTAATAACATACGAAGCTATTTTGTTTTGTATTGTTTAATATCCTGTTTTGACTGATGTACACTCATGGGCAATTGTCCTGAAACTTTTAATTTCATTCATAATTTTAACATAATCTTTGTTACATAATATGCAATCTAATGATACTGTAAATTGGGTTTTGCGATCAAAATCTAGGACTTACTCGTAACTAAACACTTAGCGTACATGAATGTCAAAAAGATTCATCCTTCACTGACATTTTAAGGTTTGTCATGATTATTCATGATAAATTGTGTTTTTGTGGTAATGAGGCGTGTGCCAGCGTAACGATCGAATTCCTTATAAGCTTACACAAATTAAGTTATGAATCTCAATTAGTGTAGACAAATAGTTACAAATTGATGACAGAACTATTTTTAATTGGACAAAAGAAGTCAAAAGATAGTTTACGGCTTTGAAATAGTCATGGTAGATAATTATCAAACAGGTGTGATTTAAAAAGATAGAGAATAAAAGTCTAGAAAATTGAATCTCGAAGTTGGATCATCTCTTAGCAATTAGACTGTTTTAATTCAATAGTATGATGAACAAAAAACTACTAACAAATGTATTGCAAATCATTTCAAAGTCAAAATGTAACAGAAGAAAAATAAGAAAAGTTACGCATAGTAATAGTAATAATTACGAATAGTAAATAATAATGGTTTATTTATCAGAATTATGTGAAGAATTTTCGTTGTCCAAACGAAAAAAGAAGGAAAAAGGAAACAAAATGAAAGAAAGATTCAAAAGAAAAGAAAGTGTATACATAATTATCTTTATCTGAGTTGTTTATATAAAGTATAAATTGGAAGATATGTGACAAGAAAAGCGTCTCAGCAAGATCTGGCTAAATCTATCAGATTGAAAATGTCGCGAACAACAACTGTTGTAACAACGTTCAATTAAATCAAATAATCTTTAAACACTACACAGTTCATTATCGCAACTTTTTGCTACTTACCACTTTAGCATTCATGAAACAAACCTGAGAAGTTTCAAACTGTGCTAACCATAGGTAAGAATATTGATGTGAATTTGATGTAGATAATATCATTTATCAAACGGGAATGAGTTATCAAATTCTATTATACGGCTCGATAAGTGGTAATGAATAACGTTGAGCAACTGTTTAGACTAACATTCTCTTACATAATAATTTGTACAGTTATAAACGCTTATTTTTTTAAAAAGATGATTACTTTTCTTAAAAATCTTTAACTATAATATTGAACATTATTTCAGGTAGTAAGAACTTGGATTAATTCACACAACTGTCAAGTTGGCAACATTGATCTATAACCTACTTCATACCATGAATGATAAAAATATGTCATAATGAATTGTTTATAGTATAACAATAACATACAGTGTATATCAAAAATATTATAACATGCTAAAATTAATTAAAGTAAGTGGTACATACTAAAACTTGAAAAGTTAAACCATCCAATTTCAAACTTGTAAACAAATTTATTGAAATGAATCAGTTTATATGGTCAATATCGCTACATTTACAAATAAAGGAAGTCTGTACTTTTCTGTCGGTTAATATTTGTTTAATGTTTATTACGGAAATTGATAATTGGAAAGTAATTGTTGACCACTTTGAGCACTAAATGTACTATTAAATATAGATAACAAAAATTCAACACAACACTACCTGTCTACATGAAACCATAATTTCATGATCTTGACAATGTTAAACACCTAAGCACTGATTTTGTTGGGTCTTTATTTTCTTTCTCTATCTTTCTCTTTTTTAAGATACTTTATACTATTACTTGAATTGCAGTTCACCACTTCTCTTTTATTTTCAAACACGCTTTTCCTTTGCATTGGTTTAATACGATCGTATCAGTTTCCTATACAAAGACTGTTGATTTATACAGAATTTACTTTCGCTAGGTTGTGTATGAAGCTATACGCTTATAGATACACGTTCGAATCCGTTCCTGAAACCAACCAGTACCGAACAATGTATGTAATATTTCTTGCTCAAAGAAACAACAATCTGGCTCTAACTGGGTTCGAAACCATTCAGCTATCGATCATTAGATTACTAGTCCGACGCAGTAACCACTCGGCACTGCCGCCACTCCAATATACGGACCTTAGAAGTTTAACTTAAATTTTGATTTCTCCTCTGACATAAGGTTCATCGATAGATTCATATCCTTATGTTATAACATTTTTAACTTTATAAATTTTATCTGATGTGGTTGTTTTCTGTACTTACTAATTAGACATATAGTATATCTCGCTGTCTACTTCCTTTCACGAAACTTTATTCCTACATTAAATAAATTCCTTCAACAGTACATGCAGTAATAACTATTATAATGTACATTACTTCTGAAATAGCAGCCTATCGTTCTTTGAATGTCACTGACATATAGACCGCCTTTAAAGTTACACTCTTAGACATTGAAATGAGCTCTAATTTATCAAATATTAACCTGACCAACGCCAAGGAATCTACCTTTTATATATATACAGTAGGTGTGCGTCAGATAAATGACAATAAGCATATGTTGTGATGCAAAAGATAAATACTAAAACCACTTTATGATAAATATCTTTTTTTGAATATGGGTATAAAATGAATACCACAAGGTCCGGGTGCTATGGTAATTTTTGAAGTGAATCTGATACGATAAATTCTTATCTACTGGTACATTTATATAGATTTATATAGGCGTGAATTAATTAAATTTTGTTAATAGCATAATAACACACTGGTGTTAAAAAGTGGATTTGAAATAGTGTTTAGAAATACGTGAATTTAAAGTGCTATGTTGCCATCCTTTATAAAAATGTAAGAGATTAAAATAACGCTTTCTTATCACTTTATATGAACCAGACATCTTTACTAGACACGTTTGTTTCATATTGCCTATTGTTATTAATTAAAGCTCAAGGTAGACATATTCACCTCAACACATAAGATAAACAACGTTAATTACTTGAAAATGAATATGTGTAAGATTAACATATAAATAAAACTATAATGTTAAAACTTAAAACTTTAATTGGTAAGGGAAAACTACAGATCGTCTAATTGCAAGTTATCATACATGTATTTACTTTAAACAAGCCATTTTATGTTGTACAAGGCATTAATTCTTAAGATAACATAAACCTGGAGTACAATGAAACAATCGCTATGTGTGATTTGCAAATAACATATAATATAACTGTTATTGCAATAAGAAACGCTAGAGCATTTCTGAAATGGAACTATGGAAACAATTTCCAGTTTTTTATCATTTAAATGACTCATTTTTTATAATAAAGAAAACAACGATAGCAAAATAAAGGTTGCCTTCCTTTTGTTAAGGTTTATCCAGACGTTATAACAATGTGTTTAATTGATTTTTGTCCCTTCTTTATGTTTCTATTTGTCTGCGATATTTCTAAATTATCAAATAATCGGTCAATAGTAAACGGCGATAATCGCATTTTCATTTTTCCACGGAACACTTTTATTACGGATTGCAAATTTGTTATCAAACATTTTGAAAGGCTAGTTTCAAACTTGCCTATAGCTGCGGTATAAAATGAAATGCAAGAAAAGAAACGGTATATTCAAAATTTACAGTCAAAACTGTCTTAAGCAGCCAGCTAAGGAATGCAGTCATTTTGGCTGCTTAAGACAGGTGGGTGATGAATGGAGGGTCCAGTTTTTTTTATCCAAATACATATTATTAATATATTTGTAAAATAAATATAAATGACGTATAAATAAAGCAATCTGATTCATCATCATAATCATCGCCATCATCAGTTTTTAACCATTTACAAACGTATGCTATTAATGGTTTTACATGTACACTAATCCACCATAAATTAAAAATGTCAATAGTTGAAACTTATTATCCCATAAATATATTTATCTTTTTTCACAATAGTTCAAAATCAGTAATTTTTTATTCACAAAAAAATGACAGTATTTTTTAACTTTTGATCACTAGAACAATGTGTACACATCATCTCAGTTTCGGCACTTCCTATGCCACTTATTCATTTTTGATATTAATGTCGGAGACTTGTGCATACTAGTTATTGTACATTTGTTTTTCCTCGTTCCATGTTTGTTACATAACTTTAAATATCATCCAGCAGTTTTTTCCCAAAATTATGTAATATGTTCCCAAGATTATGTAATTTTTCAAAAATAAACCTTTTCTAGTTAAAATAAGTGACAGAAATTGCATTAAAATAATACTTATATGTAATGACATTTCTGAATAACCTTGAGAAAAAAGTTTAAACTTTTCCTCCTGTTTTGCTTTATATGATTTATATGTTTAAATTCCTTTTTTTCTGTTATTTTTCAGTGTCTTAAAGTTATACAATATAATAAATGTCATTTATAGTTAAAACACTCAAGGGAATTGCATATGTTTACGTGCTCTGTGCAAAGTTGTAAGTATGTTGGTATATTTCAATAATGGCGTCTGTACTGAAGTACCCTTTTAATAACATGGACATGTTAGCGGTTTCAGTAAATTTATAATTCTTTAATGTCCAACAATACGATGTATATCTTACTACTATCACATGAAGATTTAATAATTTTTTCTCAGTTATCTTATATATTGCAATGAATATGAGGTTTTGCTGACCGCTTGTTACGACATGGTAATAACCCCACCCCCAACTGACATCCCTGCTACAAATAAACCCTTCACTTTGCCTTAATTATACTTTAGAAAGAAATCCGGTTATTTACCGATTGCTCTAATAAAAATCTCTAAAATAATAGCATTGTGAAAATAATCCTTAAAATAATTTTACATGATTATAAACTACTCACGTTATATATAATTAAATTGTCCGTATTCACTTAACAGTATACAGTCATGTTTATCAGCAAATTGCATATTAACGCAATTAATTATTTTGACAACGTTTTTGATGATTTTCGTAAAATATCCGATACCTTGGAGATATCAAAATACACATACGGTTATAAGTCCTTTGCTAACAATTTCTTTATGATATATAAAATTACTCAACCGTGTAATGATGGCTATGATGGGGTATAGAAATTATTATCTCGTCTATCATCTATGTTCTATTTTTACCAACGATCGTTAGATGATAAATATTTTTAACAATTGAATCATTGTTCACCTATACATTTGTTAATATTTGTACAGCTTGTCGAGGATAGTAATTGAAGTTTGTTTAAAACAATATCTTGCGTTATGTTATACTTATGATATTTCAAACATTTTTTCACATAATATTATCGTCAACGCAATGTGTTGTCATTTGAGAAGTTATGTATGAGAATTAGATCGAAGTAGTAAGTTTTAAACTTACATATAGTTATTTCTTAATATTTGCCCACAAAGCAAATTACACTTACATGAATGAAATAAGATGATTTTCAATATTAAATCAGTTTTTTTGCTTTTTAACTAAGCGTTACGGTATTTAAGATTACAGGTACATCATGCATGCCTTGAAGCATAAGAACATCTCATAGAGACTCATTTAGTAAAACAGCAAAATATACAAACGATATCAGAACTCAAAAAATGAAACTTATTTTACACTTAAAGGGAAAAACGTCCTTTTTAAATTTTAAAAATCAATTTCAGTTTTTAATCGAAATTATGGTAAATCCACAAACAAATAAAAAAATTTTTTTATTAATTCCTTAACAAAAATATTGCTTATTTTTTGTTAGGGGATTTTAAAATTTTTGGGCCACTTGGGCACTTTTTTTTTAAAATTTAAAATAGATATTAAACATTTTCAACAAAGCAAGGAGGAAACATTTATGTCGCTTTTTTGTTTGTAGGGGGTTTCCAAAGAATTCGTCACTGAAAACGTGAGAGAAAAAAAACAAATGAATTATATCATTGAAAAGGAAATCTTCTCAAATAAGAAAACAAAAATAAAAACCGGTAAAAAGGGGTGTCGGTAAAAAATGGTCATTAAGTTACCTAAAATAAAGTTATACCGGGCGCAAAACAAAAAAATTGGGGTTTGTTTAAAATTTCGGGCTTGTTTTATTGTTTTTTGTTGTAAAGTGGCATTTTTTTTTTTTATAATTTTTTTATTTTTAGAGGGGGAAAATTTGCAAGTATTTTTAGTTTTTGTTTTTATGAACGTAATGTAAAATTCCAAAAAGTGACCAACTATATTGGCCCCCTCCCCCCGGGCCCTTTTCGGGGGGAGTCTGTCTGACCGTTTATAAACTTAACGATCTCCTTCTAAAAGGCGTTGGGGCCATTTAAAATACCTTATACATTAAATGTCCCCCTTCCTTTTGAGTTCTTTTTAGGTATTTGTTTTGGGGGTTTTACCAATATTGCACAAACTTTAATGATCGTCCGTATTTCCAGACGTTTAGCGACTGACATTTTCAAGTAATTACAGTATTGACGACCACGAACAAATGTTTGTTTACGACCGTTACAATAGGGCAAAGGACGTCATATTTTCTAGTGACGTAAGGAATACGTACACACACTTTTCCCTGAATTTTAACGTTTATATGTAGTGTTAAAAGAATACTGTGATGCATCAAAGTAATGAACTAACCCAAATCTTTGTCGTGCGCCGGTTTTACGTTACCAAGGTAACTGTATGACGATTTCTTTTCACGACATGCAGGTTACACGTTTTTTTCTTTTGTTGTCTTATTCGAGACAGATCTCCCCTTCAAATGATATATATTTCATGTTTTTCTATCATTAACTCTCACGACAATAACTGCAGTGCACGAATTTTTTGGACAACCCTCGTAACCCAAAAAAACCACGGACTTTACAGTATTTGTCCCTTAACTTTTTATATTAATTTTCTTATAACTGCATTATAGCATATTGGATAGGGAAGCTTGAAGTCCCATTACGCTAGTAAGCTTTACCTTTACAATGTTATTAAACATGTTTAATATAAGTTTCCTATTCCAAAACGGTATTTCTAAGTAGATGTGACGTATAACGTTGCTATATTAATTTCACTCTTTCTAATGTTTTATCAAATTGAATGTATTTATTTCCTTTTGCCCCAAGTTTTATTACCCTTTAAAGTTTGAAGTTATTTAATTTTACTGCTATCTCTATATGTAACAATTAGACTTTTTGTGTATCTCGCAGTCCATTTTATTTGACCAAAGTTTATTACTTACTTCAATATATTCCATCAAATGTAAAAGCTGTCATAATGTCCATCACCTCTTTTACACTTGACCAGAGTTTATTTCTAATTTCAATATATTCAATCAACTGTAATGTCCATCGCCTTTATAACCGTTAATATTCTGACCTCAGGTTTATAACTCTATTAATTTCGTCTTAATATCTAAGTTTTATTGCTCTGTGAATACCTATTTTACTAATTGTTTGACTCGCAGACCAAGGTTTACGACTGTCTTTTATGTATTAGCACTGTTGTAATAGTTTAAATGCCCGTCAACGTTGTAATGCAAGTTAATATTCTATGGATATCTGTTGAACTATTTACTAATTGTC